AGGAAGGAAGGAAGGAAGGAGAGAAGGAAGGAAGGAAGATGGGAAGGAAGCAGAGAAGAAATGGAGGGAGGGAGGAAGCGAGGAGAGAAGGAAGGGAGGAGAGGAGGGAAGGGAGGAGAGAAGGAAGGATCTCTCCTTGATGAGTTTCCACCCATTGCTTCTTGTTCTGCGCTCAGGTTCTCTCTCTCTCTCTCTCTCTCTCTCTCTCTCTCTCTCTCACACACACACACACACACACACACACACACACACACACACTCCAGATTGAAGCCAGCTCTTAAGACAATATCAGGGAGAACAAAAACCCAGGTCTTTCTTTGCTTGTGCTTTATTTAAAAAAAAAAAAAATCGACATTCGTAGCGCATATTTTTTTTTTTCTGTTTTAAAAAAAATCAACGCAACATCATAAATAATTTCGCAGCAGGCTCGCCCACGGAAAAAGCTTTTTTTTAAGTGCCATTTTTCTCCCCCACTCCCCAAATTTGCCAGCTGAACAAAAGTCCAATGAAAGCCTGATCATCCGTCAATGATCTCTCTGCCCGACGAGAATAGTTAAAAACATTGGGGAGAGGGGGGGGGGGAATCTGGATTCAAACTTCTCAGAAAACTCTCAGGGGCTCTGAATTCAGCTTTGTAAGGCGAGGAAGGGACTTGCAAGCCAAGCAGGAGGGTCTCAAACACATTTCGGGCTGCCGTCGCCCCCTCCCCCCCCCCACTTCCCCAAATGCCAGCAATTTGGAGAAGGTGGCCATTTTTCTTTAAAGACACCTGGGAAAGGAGCAAGCTTGGGAAAAATCGATTCTTTCCCAATTCCAAAAAGGGAAGTGATTCAATTTAAGTGGCCAAGCGAAGCCTTTTGGGAAGTCGTGTGTGCAAGTGGAACAAAATTCATCCCATTTTTTTGTTTTAAGGGGCGTGCAAGCTGGTGCAGGGACAGAAGTAGGTAAGACTTCAGGTAACATGGTGTAAGATAAGCGCAGGCAACTTCGATCGTCCAGCGTGTTTAAAAAGCATCTTCCGAACGTTCGCAGGGGTTAAAAACTGATGATGGGATCGTAGGTCCAGCAAAGATAAATTACTTTTTTTTAAAAAGACAGCAGGAATGTGTGCCTGAATCAGCAGCTACAGCCAGGCCAAGACCCTTGCAAGCATTAAAACCATTCCAACATTTTAAAACAGGAAATCCGCAGAGTTTTAGAAACGTAGCAGGTCAGGAGAAAGGAGGAAATGGATGGATAGGATTGGAGCAGAAGTTTTAAACTCTGCCTCGCTGGTCGGCTCAGGATGGGGCCGCCCACGACCCCCGGGCTGCCATCAGGGCCCGCTTCAGCTGTTCGTAAGTCACAAACATCACCACGTTCCAGGATCCCAGCCGAAGAAACGAGGGTGTGAAGCTACGAGGGGGGAAAAAGAAGGAAAATAGTTGCTTTAGTTAGTTAGTTAGTTAGTTTACTTTATGGTAAACTAACTTTATGGCACCTCGTGCAGCGAAATTAAATGCCATCCTCAGTGTACATTATGTATTAAAAAAATAAAAACACACATCTTTCACTTAACAACTGTGACAAGAAAGTCGTAAAATGAGGCAAAATTCACTTAACAAATATCTCACTTAGAAAAAAAACTGGGCTGTGTTTGTTTTTTGTAAGCTACCCAGAGTCACTGAGAGTGAGTGGATGGCCACATGCATTGTAATTCATAGATAGATGATAGATAGATAGGCCAGGGACATTGAAATATGTGTGCCAGGGAGGAAGGCTGTGGCTTAAAAATATCAGATAGATAGACAATAAGATATATATGATAGATAGATCGATAAATTGATAGATCGATAGATAGATAGATAGATAGATAGACAGAGATAGATCGATAGATAGATAGATAGATAGAGACAGATAATAAACATATCAAATAGATGACAGACAACAGAAAGATAGATGATAGATAGATAGATAGATAGATAGATAGATAGATAGATAGATAGATAAAAGATAGATAGATAGATAAAGACAGATAGTAGACAGACAGAAAAAGACAGAAGATAGATAGATAGATAGATAGATAGATAGATAGATAGATAGATAGATAGATAGATAGATAGATAGATAG